TCGAGGATCAGAAGATCAAAAGGATCCTATCAACACTCTATTACCCTAGTGGGAACGAGCAAGTGGAGTCCACAAACAAAACCATACTCCAAAACCTCAAAAAGAGGTTGAGTAACGCAATAGAAAAATGGAAGGAAATTTTGCCCAAAGTCCTATGGGCATATCTTACGACCTCAAATCCAGTACGGGGCCACCCCGTTCTCGTTGGTCTACGGTGCCGAAGCTCTAATACTGGCCGAAGTAGGAGAATCGAGTCTCAGGTTCCGATATGCGATCAAAGAGTCAAACGACAAGGCCATGAGTACGAGCCTGGAACTTTTAGAGACGCGCGAGCATCCAGTTGGCCGCCCAAAAGCAACGGATCGAAAGGTATTACAATCGGAGAGCTAACCTTCGACACTTTAATTTCGGGGAATTGATGTTAAGAAAGGTGACACTGAGCACCCGGAACCCGAACGAAGGGAAGCTAGGAACGAATTTAGAAGGTCTATATCAAAGTATGGAAATCACCGGCAAAGGATCATACAAACTCGAAGCAATGAACGGTGAGCGACTACCGAACAACTGGAACATAACCCACTTAAAACGATACTACTGCTAAGGTACGACCCCATTCATTTCTTTTATTTACATATTGGACTGACACTTACAGGTAACGATCAATGAATTATGCAACTTTTAGGCCTGAAAGCACGCGTTACACTCTTTTTCCCTTGAATCGGTTTTTTGCCAAATGGGTTTTCCAGCAAGATTTTAACAATGCAATAGTGGATTGTGCTAACTTAGAATTGAAGACCGGCTATAAACCGGAGTCGAGGGTCACATCAACAGTATCTGAGCCCACTCTACGATCGGCCTCAAATATTGGGAGCCATCACCATCGGATAATAATTTTAGCAAGGAAGGAAACTTTGTGCTCGAACCAGTCTGGGCTTGGTGGATAGGATTTATTTTAAAGGACCAAACGGTCAAATGAACTGTGCCCGCATAGACAACTTAAGCAATAATATGAATCTTGTACACATTTGCAATATTGTATGTTGCACACAGAAATGAAAGAAAGTTTCTACCTTGCAGACACATAATTTGTTTCTTAAAAACTACTACATTTTGTTCCTTAAGGACATCGGGCCCAAGGGCCACCTTTGTCCGGATCCAAGTGATCACCCCCACTCGGGGACTGTCGTCTAAGGCAAACTCGAACGGCTTGGGATGTCAAAGCTTGGGGGCACAAAAACCTATTAGGAAGTGTCCAAACTTAAAGGCTACGGTTGCCCTCACTCGGGGACTGTCGTCCTGGGCAAGCCCGGATGGCTTGGGTATCGAAGCCCAAGGTAATAATCCTACTTAGCAAAACCTGAACTTAAAAGGCTATAGCCATCCTAGAAACGGCCCGGAGACGTCCGAAACCCGTAATCAAAACACAAGGCCTTCAAAAAATTCCAAGCCAATTCAAAAGGCTACCCTCGCCATAATTATAATCTAAAAATTTCTAAGTAAACACTTCGAGGAAAGATTCCGGTCATACCAAGCCCCCACGAATCTTAGGCAAAATTACTTCGAGAACGAGCCTTGTTCGAACCTCCGAACAAGACCTTATTATTATGTGCTAAGGTATTCGAAATCTTTGTAATCGTAAAGAAAAAATCAAAAAGAAACAAGCTTGAAAATTGTCGAAGGGGAAAAGAGCCTTGTATATATATAAAGATCTTTACAAAGGCCAAGCAGCCTCAAAGAAAATTCAAAAGTACATAAACAATGAAAAATCTACAAAGTGGCATGGTCCTCGACGGAGCCTGCCTCATCACCGGGACCATCTATGTCTTCTCCACCCTTGGAGCCTTCCTCGTCCTCGAGATATGCCAACTTCTTGGCCTCGGCCTCGAGTCTCTTAGCATTTTCGATCTCGGCCGATAAGTCGAAACCTCGGGCATGAACTTCCTCGAGGGCCTCCCTTCGGGACTGCCACTTCACGTATTCAACAATGTCTTTCAGGCAGCCTTGGGCTGCCTCAACATCAACTTTGTACTGGACTAACATATCCTCGGCATCGGCCCTGGTTATTTCCACCACTGACTTAGTTGCTTTAAGCTCCTTGGCAAGGGTATCTCGATTGGTATGCCATGTGGCACTATACGTGGCTATTTAACTCAGCCTATAAATTCCCAAACTATCAGGTGTCCCCAAAAACACCTTAAACTATATTCTCTTATAAATTTTAAAACTCCCCATGTATTCTTAGTGGTGTGTCTATATAACTATATTAACTTATGGTTTGTACTAAGTTTTTGATGTAACTAGCTTACTCGCAGTGTATTACTCCCGGATGACTGATTAATTCATTTTTGGCTAAAGTAGGATCTAATACAAATGCATTATTTATAGCTTTAATTGTGGTTGTGCTATATGCTATATTCCAATTGTATAAGTCCTTGTTTATATTCAAATTGCAGCAATAAAACTGAAAGCATATATTGCTGTATTTCTGGAAAAAAACATCTTATAGTACACAAACTAACATTTCACAATCAAGAAACCAATCAACCAATAACTACATTCTCTAACTCTAGACTACACAAACAAGGTTCAAGAGGTTCAACTTTATTCTCTACAAAGTGATGGGTTTAATAAGAAGATTCAAAGGCAAAGGTGTATCCAAGTTAAGGGATATGGTTCATGTGAACCCATATTCCTCTCCCTAAACCATGTATAACAATATTATTTTTCCTTAAATTACTTAACTATATATGCGTGAACTCACGCTCAAAGACTATTATGGTGCAATTATTATTGGGTGCACCTCTACAAGTGAAATTGACAGTTCAAATTCACTCTGAATGGTCTTGTTTTCGGCAACGTGTAGATATATATATATCCAGAATTTCAAAAAGAATATAATTTTGAACCTATAATTTTAAAGGTATAGTGGGTTCACGGTAAGAGACTAAAGTTAAATCCGTCAAATGTAATAATATACTTTAAAAATAATAATATGTATATATATACAATGAATAGACACGCTTGAAAATAATATAAAGCAGATGGACACAAAAATATTTGAAATCCACCATAATATGGCTTACAAATCGAATTGTACACATAATTTTAGGCGCGTACGCTTCTCGGCTTGTGCAGAGAACGAAATGTCTTTTAAATCCTAATTAAGTTAACACCTTCCTTAGGAAAGTCTTTTGTCACATTTGAATTGGTCCTTGATGAGACATTAAGGAAGAAAGGCATCAACCACACAAAGAAGAAAGGTACAAAATCAAAGTCTGCCCCTGCCAATTCTCAATTGCAAAATAGGCATTAAAAAAGCAAACTCCTCTCTACTCACCAACCAAAAATATTAAAAGACAAAAAAGGAAAGTTAGCAGAGACAGGCTTCTAACTACATTACATCCCGTTTGATGAGTGGACCTTGCCTCGTTGTCATAGTGAATCTGTTACTTATATATTTTAAAGAAGATTTCGGAACTTGTCATCAAACATATATTTTATCTTAGTTATTGTGTTCATAATCAATGTATAAGCAAAAATTATTGAATTCGTCCGAAAGTCCGCCTCTGCACCCAGTTTATTAGAAAGTGGACAAGCTAAACACCAGCATGATTCATGAAGAGCTAAAGGTTTTCGGGCAGATTCTTCAATTTTCCATTCCATTGGCTATGTATTAGCACATTAATAATACTAGCTGTTTTTATTCGAATAAAAAGCAGAAAGATTAGCTAAAAGTCCATACTGAATGTCCTGTCATCTTCTACCGAATATCCTACAGATACTATTCCTCGCACCTTCTGGATTTCGATAAAAGAATTTTCAACACAAATCAAGACCATAAATGAAAACAAAAAGGAAAAAGAAATCACTCGCCAAACGCAAATTAAGTTTGTGACATTAATCATGATTAAATTTTACAACAGGGTCATAAAACTTTGTTTAGTATGAGCGTAAAGTAAAGATTATTTTTTGTGACATTGAAGTAATTGAATTATGAATGGATTGTTTTGAAAATACAAATAATTTAAAGCCTATTTGGCCATGACAATTTGAGATGTTTGGCCTAAATGGAAAAGTGCTTTAGCAGAAGTAATTTTTCTGCTTTTGGAGAGAAACTACAAATTCTTCCAAGAAGCAGAAGCAGAAAATTAATTTATTCAAGACAAAAATATCCTTACATTAGATTTATATTATTTCTTATTAATTTAATATTTTATTTTCTTTTTCTCTTTTTAGTATACATTTCTTCTATTTTTTTAATTCTATCATATTTTTATTCTCTTTCTCCTATTTTTCTTTGGAATATTCATTCTACTGTAAATATATCTCTTCTTTTTTATATAGTAATTTATAAGAGTAGATTTTTAATTTATATTGAGTGATGTATTTTGATATATTTAAATCAACATGTAAATAATAACTAACTGGGTATATTATCGCTTTAGAATAACTATATTTTATATTGATTAAATTTTTAGATTAAATTTTATTATAATAGATATTTAAATTCATTTATCTCTTTCAAATAATTCTAATTGCAAATTAAACTTTTACGGTCCTTTCGTAATTTGAACTTAAAAGTACTTTTTGGAATAATTGGACAAACATAATTTGAATTGACCAAACATCAATTGCTATTTTGTAAAAGTATTTTTTTTTTCGAAAGGTACTTTTAAACAAAAAATAAAAATAAATAATTTTAACAGCTTGGCCAAACAAGACATTAGGTTTTGAGTTATGAGTTATGACATGTCGCTGGCCACGTCAAGCTTTGCAGCTTTGTAATTCCCTGCGACAAAATAAAAGAGAGATCACCATGTAAAATGACTAATCATATCTTAAACAAAAGATATATAATTAAAATTATAGTAGATGAAACCGAAAAAGAACGATTATAGGATAGAAGTCGTTGGTTCTAGAATTTTCGTAGTTACACTATGTTTGATTTGAAAATTTCTAGAGCTAAATGGCTCCTTATTTTATCTAAGTTTCCAGAGAAGTCCAGAAACAAGCCAAGATATTAGTTCTCATCCCATGCTTTCTTAGGCCGAGGTTCCAGAACAATCTCCGGCCTGTTCCCTTTATATTATGACGTTCCCCTCTTTTTTTCTTTGTCTGAATTTGCAACTGAAGTTTCAAAAATAACAATATGGCTCACTGCTTATCAAGAATTTCAATTTCTCAACCTTTTCCTTTTTCTGTCAACAATCCAAAATTTTCCTACTACTCTGTTCCAATATGTAGTAGAGGTGGTAATAACAAAGTGAAGGCCATCTCAGTTGATGAAAGACACAATCTTGAAAACTTGCAAAGACAGAACAAGTACCAATCTCAGCAACCTAGAAAGAGATCACCCCAAATGGCCCCTGTTGGTAAGATTCAAAAAATTTCTTTATTTTTTTCTTTTATTACTCTCTCTCTCTCTCTCTTTTTCGTACGATGTCAAAGTGCTTGATGACGAATAGAAGTTGCATATCCGATAAATAAAATTAAAAAAATGAGTTATAACTTGTATAATTGCTTGTGTCATAATGAGTGAAATGACATATCATAACATGACAACCTCCTTTTCTTTCAAGAAAAATGTGGAAGTTGTATTTTTTTAAAATTATGAGCATAAAAGTTTACATGATTCACATTCTCATTCAAATCGTAAAGGTTGAATGACACTTAAGTTTAGCACGATTTTTTTATTTAGACATCTAAACTGATTTTTTTATTTAGACACCTAAACTCAAGGTGTTCTTATTGAACACTTATACTACTCGAAATTTATTTCAATTAAATATTTTTTGCTGAGTTGGCACATAAAGTGAGTTTCACCCACTATAGGCTCATGAAGACTCCAAAATATAGATTTTTTTTTTTTATTTCCTTCTTCTTCTTCTTTCTCTCCACCACCATTTCTACTATTGCCTCCTCCACTTCACCATTGTTGTGCTTCCACCATTGATTTAGCTCGAAAATCTGAACCAACAATTGTTTTTATTGATTAAAACTGAAATGAAGAAGAAGCACAGAACTGAGACTAAATGAAAGCCACTTCTTCGAAAGCAACGAACCCATTGCCATTTTCTGCTACACACTTTTTCTCTTTCTCTCACTACAACGGGATCAGAAGAAGAAAGAGAGCAAAGCACAGGAAGAAGAAGAGAGTAAAACTGAAATGAGTCCAAGTTCTTCATTTCAAATTGAAATGCTAATAATGGAGTTTTTAAAAAGCTTGAAAGCTTAAAATGGGTTACTCGATTTGATGAAAGTTTGGGAAATTAATATTGGGGTTGTCTTCAGGTCGGCGCGGGGAATCTTTAGCTGAAGTTTAACAAATTTGGAGGAGTTTCTCTTAAAAATTTGGATTAAAATCGTGCTTGGAACAAGAACAAATATGAAAATAGTGAAGAACACCAAGAACACTGATTTTCAGAACACCAATGTATCATTTTCTTTTAAATGTATTCTTTCTTGATCGGGTGTAAATTAAAAAAAAAATTTCTTTTTGAGAATGTTATTTTTATTTTGTTTATTAAATAGATTTGATATAGTTTTTCCTTTTTTTACTCAAAATAGTATATGTCCTTTTTTTATTCGTCATTCGCCATGTCAGCCGCGAGTGCATTGCACAAACTTTAGAAGTTTGGCTGATTGTCAAAGAAGTGCTTAATTGGAATAAGTTTCGGGTAGTATAAGTCCTCAATAGGAACACCCTTAAGTTTAGGTGTCTAAATAAAAAATCGTGCTAAACATGTACCAAACTCACATACATTACCTTTCTCAAATTTATTAGTATCTGAATATAGTTTGTTGTTGGCCTTTCTTGAATATTTCATTTGTGGCTGCAGGGTTGTGGGATAGGTTCCCAACAGCAAGGACAGTGCAGCAAATGATGGACACAATGGACAGAATCATAGAAGACCCTTTTGCTTTGAATGGAAATTGGGTTGCAGAAGAAGATGTTGGGTACAGAAGAGGAAGGACGCCATGGGAGATAAAGGAAACTGAAGGAGAATACAAAATAAGATTTGACATGCCAGGCATGACCAAAGAGGATGTGAAGGTTTGGGTAGAAGAGAAAATGTTGGTTGTGAAAGCTGAGAAAGTGGCCAAGAAAATAAGTGAGGAAGAATGGTCTGCTAAGAGCTATGGAAAGTATAGTACAAGAATTGCATTGCCTGAGAATGTTGAGTTTGAGAAGATTAAGGCTGAGGTTAAAGATGGTGTCTTGTACATTACTATACCAAAGGCTGCTAGTAATCCCAAGATTTTTGACATTAATGTTGAATGAACAATTTTGATCTCTAGTTTATATTGTCTCTTAGTCATAGACGCTTCTGTTCTTAAGGTTTATAACTAAAGTTGTAAGGGCTCATCTTGTAAATTTAATAACTCTAGGAGGCAAGTGAATGTGCCCACCCCTTCTTGGTGCTTCCGTTTAAGGACTTCAAGAAATTAGCCTCTGATCAAATTTTTACTTTAGTATCAAATGTACTTGAAAATTTTTGGACTGAGATGATCTAAATGAATTTACTTGCCCAGGGCGTTTTATATATGCATCAGTGAGGCGTAAGCCCAATGAGTATTTAATTTTTAATATTTCATAAAATAATATATTGCAATAAATATTTATAAACATGTAAAATTGTATAAAAATTGAAGTAAACTATAAATATGGGAAAAATATGTATATATAGATATGCTCCATCCTCATAAAAATTTAGTTAAAACAATTTATTATACGCTACTTACAAGCACAATAACTTGAGTTGAAAAGAAAAAAGTTTTTTATATGGAGGAACAAAAAAAGGAGGTTGTTTCCAAATAGACCCCCGGCATCCTTCCCTCCAAGAACTTCCACCTTGCTCTTGGGGAGACTCAAACTCACAACCTCTTGGTTGGAAGTGAAGGTTGCTTACCATCAGAGCAACCCCTCTTGTCTTTGAAGTTCTTTTTATATTTGTAAAAAAATAATAATTGAATATTCGTTGCTTCTGGGAGATCTTAACAGACTAGTAGACAAGATAAAAAATTATGAACGACCATAAATTAGGGTTTCAATCAATAGAAAAGGTCTTGACTTATTGACTTAATACATTTCAGTTCCTTTTTAAAATTTTGAGTAATTACAAGCTGACTTTTGAGAATTTGGGTATTAGATGAAGACTTATTCAACAAATTTTGTTTTAATTTGAAAAAGTATCCGGGGCTTACGCCTCACTAAGAAAACGCGCCTAGAACGCGTGGGCGTCAACCAGAACGCTTAGGCGTATACCCTGAACGCCCGGGCATACACCCCGAATTGCTGAGCGTACGCCTCTTGAGACTTTCTCGCAACATCATTGCCTCAGGACATTTTTTGGTGTGTCTCGCCCTAGGTCTCGCCCCGAAAACGCCTTTTAAAACACTGGTACTAAGTACACCTGGAAACTGCTTTGCCTACACGAGCATATTAGTTTTGTCCAGGGAAAAAAAAACACGGGGTGGGGGGAGTGAATCCTGGTATTGATTGTAGTCATTTCTGAAAAATAACTTGGTCCCTTATGGCAAAATTCCATTAATGGCTTTATCAACTAGTCATTTGCTACAAACAGAATTACTCATAATTGGAAATACGGTTAGATAATTGATCATGCTTAATTCTAGTCCTAAATAATAAGTAGTCACTGCAAATATAATCCGATCAATGAGTTTGGAGCGGAATCCCATAGAAAAATAAGGTATATCTTCAACTGTTCAATATCACTAAGAAATACAAGTTCAAATAATTTTCTAGTTATAAAGATTGTAATTACTGAAAAATATTAATTAGTTGTAACTAATGAGGATGAAATAGGAGACAAGATCAAGGAGACCTAAAGTTATGATTTTTCAATGGTTAGAATCCTTTCTTGCTACATCTTCGATAATTTCACCTAAGTATTGCCAACTGATCCTGAATACTTTAGGTGTTGTAATTCTCTTCCGAGCAACTATAATAATTTACTAGATATATTCTTCCGAAATATGCTAGCTGACACTATTTTACCGCCCATTATGATCACGCCAAGGTTTTGCTATTCCTAAATTCACCTTTAAACTCACTGTATTAATTCTTCACATACGTTAGGAGTGACGTTGTTTAACAACCACCTAAATATGTACTATTTTCCAAACAATACATAATAAATAGGCACAGCTAATTGATGGTCATTCAATTAACAAAAATAAGCATATAGTTGAATACATAGAGAAATTCAAAGGCAAAATTATATTCAATTCGAGAAAGGATAGGGTATACCCCTTTACTTTCGTTTACAGTCTGTTTGGATCATTGTTCCCCGTCGTTTTATAATGTATTGTATTGTACTGTATCGTATTGTACCGTATCGTTTTATGAATGCAATGTTTGAATAGATTGTATTATTTGTCATTGTTAAATAATATTTTGCTGTTTGGTTTGACTGTATCGTACTGTACTGTAACTGATAAGTTTACTAAAATACCCTCAATTATTTAAATATTGAATTTATCAAAAATTATGCATAAAATAATTTTTTAAAAATAAAACAGAAGAAGGCAAAAAACCTTAAGAAAGCAGAACAGAAGAAGGCAAAACAAAGGAGCACAACTAATTAGAATTGAGTTAAAAGCAAATTAGGAGAAAAAGTAAAATAGAAGGCGGCAAAACACCTTTAACGTTGTCGGCAGAAGTACTGGAAAAAAACAAAGTAGGTTAGAAGTTGGAGATTTGGAGTTAAAATAGAAAAAAAGGTAAAGGGTAAAATAGAATTGTGGAGTAATAAGTTAGGGCATAATTGGAAAGAAAAATAGGAAACGATCCCACCACACCAAATCGGTTGTTTCAAAAAAGGGGACTTTTCATTGTTCCGGAACAATGGATTTAACAATACAATACAATCAATTTTAATGAAACAATCAAAACAAATATTGTTTTGGGATAACAGTACAATACGATACAACGAGGAACAACCATCCAAACAAGCTGTTAATCTTATCCGTCTTTATACTTTTTGGCTATTTACTCCTTTGCCCTGTAAATTTGTCCCTTATTTGATTGAATGAACACATGTCACAATCTGAATGAAAGACCCTATCCACCACTTAAAAATTTCCATACCCGATCAAAAACTCGTCCGACCCTCCACCCTCCCTGACAACCCCCATATTTGTCATTTCACCACTGCAAAAATCTGCTGAATTGTCTTTTCATTCCCGATTCTATTTTTCCATTTTTTTCACCCATACATAGACCTACAACACAAACTTTCATCCACTATCAAGCTTCCACTTTACAGCCCAACATCGACCAGCACAACACCCCCTTCACCCACGTTGCAATTCAAAAGATTTCTAATTTTAAAATTGTGGTTAATTATTTGGCCATAAGTTCTTGCCTCACTTTTACTTAACTTATGAGTTGAGTGTTTCACCAAAAAGTATGAAACCTTTTGTTGAACTAATTAAATAAGAAGATAGAGGGTAAATTCTAATTAAGAATAATTAATTCTAGATCTGAGATGGATAAGATCAATAAAAAAATATAGTTGAGTACAAATGCTGGCAGTAATTATGGTCGGATCTAATAGTATGAAAAAGACCATGCATTAAATAGCATTAAATGGCGATAAAATGTAAATAAAGGAGAAGATTCACCCAATTTTGAGTGAGGCGGATCCTCTTTCATTTGATAAAGATGAATGATAGACAAATACAAAAATCTTAGGACCCTTTTCGGATCTGATGGCAGGTGTGGGATAACAGATAATCTAATATCTTTAGAGAGATGTGTTTGTATTTTTTCTAGAGAGAGAAAGTCTGCTTTTAGAGGAGTCCTCTGCTCCAGTTCCTCCCCTTTTCGTTATCTCCCATACTCTTTATATGGGGTGTCCCAAGGAGCCCTAAACAATACAATTAGAGAGAATATTCAGTAGAATATTCCCTTTGAAGATTCTAAAGCAAAACTAGCCATTACTTCTATCTGTACTGCTCGATCTCGGCCTTGTTATTGATCACTGCTCGACCTCGTCCTTGTTGATGATCACTGCTCGACCTCGGCCTTGTTGATGATCACTGATCCACCTCGGCCTTATTGATCACTGCTCGACCTCGGCCAGACAGCTCAATTCGATCCGCAGGTTATTCATGACAATTGTCTCTGCATGTCGAATTTCTCTGATTTGATTTTGATCCATATAGTTAGTCCCTCCGCTTATCGAGGTCGTCTTTTAGTCGAGCTCGGTGAGCGGACTTCATTAATCGTAGTTCGAGAAATTCGGATGGGGAGGTCGAATAGTGAGGATCGCGGCTGAGGGTGCCAATCTTCAAGTCCAAGTGGTATCCCTGCGGGCTGAATTTGAGCAGAGTTCGACCGGGCCAATGACTCGAGTGATGAGTTGATTGAGAATACGGTAGAGTTGGAGATGGCCAACAAGGCCAGGATGGCAGCATCGAAGGAGGTCATCCGCGTCCTCAGATCTGGACGGGTGATTTGGCCCTTGTAAGATGCCTTTTCATATACCTCTTTTGATTTGGAATGCTACTTTTGCTGCTTATTTCTGATTCTATTTTTCTTTTTCTTGAACGTTTTCCTCGATTTATGATTTTGAAAGAATCGTTGGTAGCGTTAATTCGAACGTGATCGAGTGTCCTTGATTAGTCCGAGCGAAGTCAAACGTTGCCATAAATAATTTGAACAAGGTTTAGCTGTGAATCAAGTTCGAGCTAGATCGAATGCTAGTTGAATTCGAGCGAGGTTGAATGTCAATAAACTAATTTGGACTTTCAAATGTGTCTTAATCAGTTTGAACGAGGTCGAATGTGAGTTAATTCGAGCGAGGTCGCATGTGAGTTGAATTCGAGCGGGTCGAATGTCAATCAACTAATTTGGACTTTCTAAATGTGTCTTAATCAGTTCGAAAGAGGTCGAATGTGAGTTAATTCGAGCGAGGTCGAATGTTAGTTAATTCGAGTGAGGTCGAATGTGAGTTAATTCGAGCGAGGTCGAATGTGAGTTAACTCGAACGAGGTCGAATGTAAATTCGAGCGAGGTCAAATGTTGGTTAATTCGAGCGAGGTCGAATGTTGGTTGATTCGAGCGAGGTCGAATGTTGGTTAAATCGAGCGAGGTCGAATGTTAGTTAATTCGAGCAAGGTCGAATGTAACCTTTGTTTGATAATGATCGGGAGTCGTATGGGCGTGAATTCGAACGAGGTCGAATGTAACCCGTAGTTACTTCGAGCAAGATTGAATATAACTTGTTTAATTGATACAGCGTCGCTTTGGCGAAAGTGCGGGTGAGCTTCATGCACTCATGCTTTGCCTACATTTATCGGAAAGTTTTACATGTTTTCTTGGTTGGCAATCCAGCCCCAGTCTATATGGTCTCTTGGCATCTTCGGATTTTTTTCTTCATAATGTTCAGTATCAATTTATTCGAGGATTCTGCTTGCCCGTTGCTTGCTGGGCGGTACGGCGTGGAGAGTATTCTTGTGATATGCTACTTCTCGGAGAATTCGGCGACCTCTTTCTTGATGAG